AATAGCAAAAACCTCGTTCACTACATTACACGGGGTGCCTACGTAGTCAACAAACTAACAAGAAATGGGTGTTCGGGTCTAATTGACAGAAACCAGACGTGGTAATAACCAACATAACATAACATCACGCCTTTCTTCCCCAAAGGTGGAAGGGCAGAGGTGCACATTATGGCACTTAATTATACACACCCACTTTTCACTAATTACGTTATGAGTCCCATGTAATAGGGAGTGAACCTATTGCCATATACCGGGCACAATTCCAGACTCCGTGCTACCACTGAGAATTTTTTAAAAACCCAGTAATACTTTGCCCGATCCGGGAATCGAACCCGAGACCCCTTGCCCGGCAGTCGCACTTGCGACCATTCGGCCAACGTGGTAATCTGATGATTAAACCTTAAAGATTTAATCATCAGATAAATTTACAACATAATCATATAACAAAGTTCTTTAAAAATTGTATGTAGAAGCGAAATTGAAGTATCTTAGACAATGCAGTTCAAATGCCTTAAAACATCTTACGTGTTCTATGGTTCTACAATTTAATAAAGCATTAAATCAGAATCTAAGAAGTTATCTAAACTATTTATCAACTGTTTAGATTTCGGTCACACGTGACGTTGTTATGTGTAGTATTTCAGCAATAATAACCACTTTGCTCTAAATATTTGCTTTAAACTGAAGATTATGAGAAGATATTTCTCAGGTAGAAACGCGTAGAGGAAGCAAAATTATTTGAACATAACTTTACCTACTAGAAATTATTTGAGGCAATGTTTACCTACTTTGTGTCTGACTTGAATGTGTGAACGTAGTTATTAAATTAAACTATAAGTACCTAACACATCTTTGGTACTAAATAATTTCCTACATAACATGTATAGTTTACACTTGTAATTATAATCCTGGATTATAGAATTTGCAGCGACGAACTAGAACTAAACTGGTATTAAGTGATTTGCCAAGCCAAGACTTGCCAAATACAATAAAAACTGCTTAGCAATGTGCGTACGTATTTAAAACAAATTACCAAGTCGCTTTAAAGTAATGAACACAAGGAGACTTAAGATCGAATTATACAAGAGGCTCAATGAATGTAATTTTTATAGTTTATGTGATTTTATGAATGTGAAATGTTAATTACCTGCTCACTTCTGTCAAAATAACAAACTTTTGCATACTATGTTTTATCTTAGCGAAACATGTTGAGCTATTGTAATAATATTAACACCAATGTAACTATACCATGTTTTACGCAAATAAATGATTTACTTACTTACTTACTTACTTTGGGAGTTTGTGGCGGGCTTGTCCCATAAAAAATCTATCAGTAACCTATTTAGTAGAATATCAATTTTAAATAACTCTTTATCACTTTCTGTCCTTTAAAAAATAGACCGTTTAGGTTTTATGTTGGGTAGACTTTTAAAATCATTGGCACAGAGTCCGTAATCGTGTAATAAGTAATTGTAGTACTTAGGACGTTTGTAATGTTCGTTCATTCGTTCGTTTGTAATTTGCAGTACTTAGGACTGATTAGGTATGTACATCTATACAAGTAATTTCGAGGAATTTCATGTATAACACAGACGAAGTTGTACTCTTTTATTTTAAAACAATATGATATTTAAAACTGACTGACCACACATCCAAAAGCTTCCACTTTGCTATTCATCTTTGAGTGCCGGCTTAATATTCGGCCCCCAATTTTTCCCTCGCCTTGGGCAAAGGACTCATTTCGGCTTCCACGTGTGCGATAACGGTCGAAATAATAAAAAAGTTATTCAAGTTTAGAATTGTTATACCAACCAATAATATTTGAGCAAATTTTATTATGATTTGTTGAACTTTATACTTTTAATTGTATTAACGTACCTATGCAGTTAATATTTATGTGGTGATTAAGAGAATTTAAGTTAAAAAAATCAGAAGATTTCACGAGTAAATACAACACACATCTTTATAGATACATTCCTAAAAACATTTACCTATCACACCGTCTATCACGCTGAAACTACTGAACGCATTTTGATGAAATTTGGTATATACATAGGTAAGCTGATTTAGGTGATAGGATACTTTTTATCACAGTTTTAGGAATTTAGACGGATTCTTCGCGAGCAACAGCTAGTAATATATATTAAAAGAATAAGTGATAAGTAAGACCTTATTATGTAAGAAGTACAGGAGCAATAAATTACAAAAGTCAAATATTTCTGTTTACAAAAAATTTGAGAACTTAATAACAAAAACAGCGAGTAACTTCCCGCGACTTTTAATCGACAAACGTTGTCGATTCACTCCCAAGTACTAAGTAACAAAACACACTTTTCCTTTTTCAAATATCCTCAATAATTGTACGCAAAAGATACTGGACAAATTCAAATAGGAAACAAAATAAAAGTTCTTGTATAACACAATAAAACGAAGATGGCGGAACGATACGAAATGTAATGAGTTTAGGGTTTCTTTTTCTCAAGGAGACATTTTTTCTTCAACTCGAATATGAGTACCAAGATAATATGTTTGTTTGGTTAATAGAAGTTAGCTCCAGTTGAGTTTTTACCACATTATAAGTGAAACAAGTGAATTTATTTCTGCAAATACAAACAAGGCAGCAGTTTTACACGTCAATTTTATCAAGCGAACGATGAGGCCGACATTTCCTAACTGACTACTCTGAGAAGAAATGCCGAAACAAACTCAGGTCTGTCTCTTTTAAAGTCCAGACAATTATATGTATAACAGATTATGTGTGAGAACCGTGCAAGTTCTTTCTGTAGTGGCCTTTTGAGGAAAGAACCACAACAGTTTGAGCGGACTCGTTCTGAAGGCAGTACGCATGTGTCGGTTCACAGTCAGCTCAATTAACAGGTGAGAACAGGTAAAGAACATTTGCGTAGGTCGCACAAATACTCAAACTATCAGAATATGGGTAATTAGAAAAGAAATGGCGAGGCAAAGTCTCTCACGGTCATAGCACTAACAATTGTAAGTAGCTATAGCACATTTCAGCCAGTGATGCGTGTTCTCTGACAGTTTGTATGGCCTTCAACTTTCTCACGTCGCGTACGAAAATGGTAATGAGCGCAAAGTTTTAAAATTTGTAAATCTCATCCAGCCAGAGTCTTAGATGTTATTACAGAGGTACGAAAGTGATTCTGAAGAGGAAAGTACTTCCTAAGTATCTTTTTTCCGTTCAGACGACCAGCTTCCAAAAATAAATATTTCTTTCATGAAGACAGGAAGTTATTGAATTTTTAAAGAATGCCAATGAATTCACGGAGCCCTGAATATAATTTAAGCAACGAAACTGCGGAAACAAAACAAAATCAGAAATTATACAGGAGATATTCGATGCTGACATCGCTCTCAATGGATCATTCGAAAAGATTCGACCTTCGTGGACTTTACGACTGGGGGAGCGATATTTTTTATCTATATTTTATATTGTCACTCGCTTCATTCCTTTTATATACACTGTAGCACTAGTTTGTTAAAATCCCATGACGTCGTTCCCTACTGCACATATCAACTAAGTAATTCATATTATCGTAGGTGTGTTCCCTTTTATGGTTCTCATCAGGGATATCTTTTTTATTTTATGGCCGTTCGAGAGCCCTATATTCCGCGAAACTGGGGCGAGGGTGTAAAAAAATGGCTAGCGACCACGCGAAAATACCAGAACAATAAAATCGGCTGAGTTTTTGCGTAAATTCTGTGGAAGGAAGGAAAATGACACTTAATAAATATTTACCATTAGCTAGAAAATTAGTTAAATGTTATTACTATCTAATGTTGTCAACTAGGATTTAAAAAAAAATATTCTAGACAAGGGCGGATCCACCGTTGTGGGCACGATGGGCATGCCCACAACCTTAATAGACTTGTGACGTCACCTTTTTACGGTCTATTGAGATCGATAGGCTGATGATAATGAACCTTAATAAAATTAAAAAAACACAATGAATCATGTAACGTGCATGATTTGGAACGCAGCAAAGAGCCATAGACGATATGCTGACATGTTATTACTTATGTCACATTTTTGACAACTTATTGCCGTGCCGCCAAAACTTCGAGCCGCGTAGCGAGGCGTCTATGACGCTACCTTATGAGGGTGCTTAAAAATTTTGAAACAATAATGTCACTTTGACATGCTCTGTCAAAAATATCCAATCACAATAAAGCTGGACCTAACGTCTACGTAATGCCATCTAGCGGATTTGCCGTGCCAGATAAGTGCGTGGCGGGATGAGCTCCGGCGCGATCTCATGGCGGAATGGCAGCAACGACTGTCGCAACCGAGGGCTGGGCTCGCTGCCATTGCAGCGGTAAGTCCCCTCTTTGAGGAGTGGCTTGAGAGACGCTACGGCGTCCTCACCTACGCAGGTCCTCACCGGACATGGAAGTTTCGGGAGGTACCTGTGTCTGATGGGGCGGGAGGAAACGCCCGGGTGTCATCACTGCGAGGACCACCCTGAGGACACGGTGGAACACACTGTTGCGGAATGCCCTGCGTGGGCTGAGCACCGCCGTGCCCTCAGGGAAGTGATCGGCGATGGAGACCTCTCGCGTCCGGGCCTAGTGCAGGCCATGATGTGGAGCGAGGACTGGGATGCCGTCTCCTCCTTTTGCGAAGCAGTCATGCTGGCTAAGGAGGAGGCGGGACGCGTGAGGCAGCGAAGCGCTGCCTCCTCGCAACCCAGCCATCGCGAAGGACACACCCGAGCGTACGGCGCGTCGCGTTCCGCGCGCGCCTCAAAGAGCCATCAGACCACCACAGATGGGGCCCAATAGGGCCGATGCCGATTCGGAGTCGCGGAGAACCTAACGGGTAACCGGGGCTCCGGCTCGACGTGCAGGAGAAGGAACGGGGTGGTTTTTAGTCAGTAAGAGTCTGACACTCCCTTCCGCCTCACCCAGGCGGGAGCAGTCATTCGATTTCGATTTCGAGTCGTAATTTAATGCATTGTATATTGTTTTTTTTGTGTGTGGCTGACTGTGGGTACAAAAAAGTTTATTTTTTTGGTTGGGAAGATTTTTTTAACATTTTCTAATAGATATCTAAGTATCTATCAATTAAATTAAATCCTACATCTTCTTTCGCAGCTATGCATCTAATATGTTATATAAGTTGTAACAAAACCAATCCGACAAACCCTAGGTACTTGCTTGAAAATATCGCGAAAAAAGTCAGCTGTTTCATACAAAACTTCAATACCCACATCGCCCAAACGTATGGAACAGCTGATTTTTTTTCGCGTATTCGGGGTTGACTGCATAGTAAAATTTATTGATTAAAATAGGTTTGGATCGAAACTGACTATTTGATTTGAAGAAATCGGGTCCGACTTCCTCCTAAGTTTGTTTCCTTTCCTAAGGCCCAAGTCCTTATGCTCAGAAAAAAGAAAATAATCTAATTCTAAAGTTCATAAATGACTTGCATGATTGCTGATGAGCATGTTCATGCTCCGACTCGTACCTACTTAGCCGATTTTCTAGTAGCTGTGACCACAACCTTTTTTGAATGCTGGATCCGCGCTTGATTCTAGACTATGTTAAATGAAAATGATTTAATACAAATATTAATTCTAATTTATTGACTGCCTCGTTGGCCGAATGGTCGCAAGTGCGTCTGCCGGGCACGGGGTCTTGGCTTCGATTGCCGGGTCGGGCAAAGTATCACTGGGATTTTAAAAAAATCTCAGTAGTAAGTAGCACGGAGTCTGGAATTGTGCCCGGTATATGGCAATAGGCTCACCCCGTATTACATGGGACTTATAACATAAATAGTGAAAAATGAGGTTATGTAATTCCAATTTATACAAACAACTTACTTATCTATAGGTAAAACTTAAGAAAACTGAAGGATACACTGTTCTTAAATTTTAATATTACTCATACAAAATTAACTTACCTATAGCCTAGATTCACTAACACTAACAACAAGTCTTCTTAGACCATGTCTAAGACAAACTATACAGCACAAATGACTGGCTAGAACACAGACAGACTTGTCTAAGGCCGTATACTCAACATAGTACATACCTACATATGACTTGAGTCAGGCCATCGAGGCGTTTATCTGATGGTCCCTCATCACGCTCCAGCCCCCGTTCACACCGAACGTCGCTAAAATTAGTTGACGCATGTCACGTCAAACAACGCCCCATTCGTTTGATCAAAGACCTGTGTAAAACATTCTTAACGAAGGGCCTTGTTCAAAGGAGAATTTATTGTCACTCGTCGTTTCGTTGTCTGTCCAAGCATCGTCTAATAAAAGAAGTAAGTAGACTGAAAACTGAACGAAGGACGGTAACTTCGTTTCAGAAAATATGATAAAACGTACCTAAGTGGTTTGGGGTTCCTTGGCTTTTTATGTGGTTAAACATCAACCTAAAATTGAGACTATTCTGATTTCGTACCATATAATATATGTTAAAAAATTCTCAGTAGATAGTAGCACGGAGTCTGGAACTGTGCCCGGTATATGGCAATAGACTCATAACATAAATAGTGAAAAGTGGGTGTTACATTGTACAGTGGCATAATGTGCACCTTCCCCTTCGGGGATAAAAGGTGTGATGTTATGTAATATATGTTGCTATTCTCACCCATACCTGAGCCACCTCTGTGCATAAGTAAAATGTTCCCAATCCAATTTTCAATGTACAATTATACCCAAATACACATCAATGGTGAATTTGCTGGGTAACCTTTGAAACGAGGCAATAGAACTCGGTTAATAATTAATGCTTATTTCCCTCAGAGCCGGCAGCCAGTGGATCCTGTTCACCAATTCAGAGCCATTCGGGCCGAATATTAGATTTGATAAGCCTTGCCTTGCAGCTAGAAAGCCACGGCATAATTGCTTGTGTGCAAATTGATATTACCTAACATTTAACTCTATAGACACAAGAGCTTGTCTAATTACGACTAGATACTGTCAGAAAAAGTAAAAATCATTAGCTGTAATCTATATTTTCTTTCAATGGCAAAACGACGACCAGATGTCGTAATGGTAAAAGTAAAGTATAATGAACTCATCTAATTCTGTGACTCGCCTAATAATTCGCTTTAGTAAATTTGGTAGAACTCTTAGGTTTCTAGAAAAAAATCTGATTATTTGTGCTAATATTCCTCATAAAAGACTGATTAAAACTCATGCGGAGACTGAATTAAATTAATTAATTATTTATTGGTATTTTATTACTCAAATGCCTTTGTCACGAAGTTAGATGAGTTCACCCTACGTATTCGATTTAAATATTTTTCAATAAAAAATGCGTATTTTGCTATAAGTAATTCTGCTTTATTTTCTTTATAAAACAAACCTCTTTATTGTCTACAATTACATGAAATGAAAATAACAGGCCATTTTCAAAATAAAAATTACTCGGTGGCCATTAAATATTTCTTTTTTATTTTATTCTTCTAAAATGTAATTGACTATAAAAATTGTTTTCGGCCAGTGTTTTAATAATATTCAAAGCAAACCTTTTTGCTAAAAATAATTTGTAGAATTTGTATAAAATAGACAATTACTAAGATAATATTGCAAGATAAAGTGTACCTCGTTACTTTACTTTAGCAGTAATAATGAACAAACCCCGGGCAGAAAATTTGAAACTTAAAACTAAATTCCTTAATAAATTCAGTGTCGAAAATTCAGAAACAATAATAAATTAGAGGCGACGTTTTCTCGCAATATGAACTGAGACGAAATAGTAATCTCGTTGTTATTCAGGGTTCCGTGGCTGATGCCGCGATAATTCCCCCTTAATTGGACCACCAAAGCTTTAATAAAATGAAAACTGGACGAGAAGGACGTTGGGAGGGATAGAAAGGGATACAAAGGATTCTCGATGTTCGCAACCAAAATTCTAGGGCAATTAGCAAGGGTAATCGTTGCGTACGCCTAATTTAACGTCCTATAATTATCTTCAGTCGAACTTGAAGGTTGTTAGAAAACAGCTTTTATGCCTATATACCTAATATCATGCACAATTAACGCACAAAGGCGTAAGAGGTAGTAAAAGTAGACATCACTTTACCTAACGGTTGGCTAGTAAGAATGTCCATTGGGTCCCCTTTTATTATAATAGTAGGTTTATACGTATAGTTCTTTATCGTACCTTTTTTTGAGGAGAACCAAAATCAAATCCTAATAATCAAACAAGGCAATCTTCCCGCTGCAAAGATTTTTTTAAAGAAATACCTACTGAGACTGAGATTAGTACGTAGATATTTGTAATGTTTTATTCATGTGGCGTTCAATAAGTTCCCTCACGCGTCGACTTCCTTACTTTACATAAATAAGTATTTTCCAATATTTACCAAGTTTTCTCGTTGATCTATTTGTAGCAAGCTTGATTATCTTCTTTATCTTTATATATATAATTCTTCTGTGAGTGTGTATGTCACTGAACTTCTCTCAAACGACTGGACCGATTTTGATGAATTTTTTTGTGTGTGTTTAAAGGTATCTGGGAATAGTTTAGATTCACAAATCAGCCCGGCAGATGGCGCTGCAGTCTGTTTAGGTTATTTATCCTAAATGGCTGAACTAATTTGAATGAATTTTTGTTTATAGGTACATTCAAGTGGATATGAAGGCCAACGTCTGTCGGGTCCGCTGGTATATATAAAATATAATTCTGCTGTACGTGTGTATGTCATTGAACTCCTCCTAAACGACTTGACCGATTTAAATGATTTTTTTCTGTATGCGTTTGAATGGCGCCCTGAATGGTTTAGATTCACAAATCATCCCGGCAGATGGCGCTGAAGTTGAAGTCTATGTTATTTATCCTAAACGGATTTGAATAAAATGTTGTTTATACTTTATAGCGGGGACTTAAAAAAATCGGGTTTCGCGTACGAAGTCGCGGGCAGAAGCTAGTTATGTATAAAATTCTAAGTACCTTTCTTAATTTACCTTGGTCAGACACAAGAAACGTAAAATTACAAATCACAAACACAACATTTCGTCTCAATTAATTTGCTGTTTAACCCATCCTTCAGTTAGCAGAGTTTTTGTGTTGAAAATCTCGAAAATGTAAATAAATAAATAATCCCTTTATTCAGATCTAACTTAATAATTATAACTTACTATTAACTTTTAACTTACTATTACATAATTAAAACTTGTTGACTTAGTCTAGTATTTATAAAATACTTATTATTAGGTAATAATTTTCTGGAGATCTGTTTACCGGCCGGCAAAGGCCTCCAACCTTTTCTATATTCATTTCGTTCTTGAGCTATTCTGTGCCATGTGACCTTTGCCACTTGCCTAAGGTTATCATTCTATCTTTTAAGAAGTCTACACCTTTTTCTGGTTCCTTCTCTGGTGTACCACCTAGTCACGATTTTGCTCCACTCGCTCTTGCTCCCTGATCATATGCCCTACCCATTTCCATCTCAGTCTTTTTTGTTTTTGGTTTTTGTTTTATATCGTTTATCTCGTTTTCCTTTTTTTATTAATTTTTTACAATTATCATTCTCCTCTCCAAAGCATATTGGCAGGTTGCAACTGTTGCAAGTCAGTCAGTTGCAAGCACTCTCCTCAAGACAAACAAACGAAATATAAAATAAATTATTTTTGTTTCTATAATCTCATAACTGTGCACGATTTTACCAATTAATATCTAATATATTAAATTCTCGTGTCACAATTTTCGTTGCCATACTCCTCCGAAACGGCTTGACCTATTATGATGAAATTTTTTGTGCTTATCCGGTGTCTATCCCCCTAAATGTTAGGGGTAATCCACCCCTAAATTTATTATTTTTACACAAAATTTTTGCATTTCAATTTTTTATTATACAAATACAAAAATACATACAATCCTCAATTTTCACCCTTCTACAAAATTATTTATATGGTAAAACAACGTTTGCCGGGTCACGGACAGCTAGTACTATATAAAAGTAGCCGAAAACCTACCAGTTGTTAATAAAAGTTCTTACAAAAGAGTATCGTTCGACCGTTAACCAAAGATATTAAGTTTGTCACAGATGTTCCTAAGT